TAGAGAGGTACATGTGAATGTGTATGATCATGATGAGTGGGTGGAAAAATCACAATACACACATGACAAGTTTATTTGATTAGGATAAGGTACATAGGAATACATCATTACAATACAAAACATGAAATAAATACTAAATTACTAATACGAGATAAAATACAGAAGTAAGCAAACTGTTTACATTTGTACAGCGATGTTGCCTAGGAAATTTGCAAAGTTACGCAGGGAAATTTAAGTCACGGGCGAGGTAGGCCGCGAATGGTCGGAACTTATAATCCTCGAGAAGAATTACATAATCGAACACCTTGAATATTTGGAGGTGTTGAGAGCCTTATCATAAAGAAGTTACTGTTAGTCTTGCGAAGGAACTCCTCTACATTCGCAATCCTTAAATCCCTATGCAGGGTGTCGTTCGACACATACATAATAGTGCGCATTGGTAATAAGTCCCAATAACTTATTCTGGATGACCTGCAGTCTCTTAAGATCCTTATTAGTCAGAGTAGCCCAAGCAGGGGAGCGGTACGAGAATATCGGGCGTACTATTGCCGTATAGATGTGCCTTTTCCGAGTGAGATTCAGCTTTGAGGTTCTGCCAATTAAACGAACAAGACAGTTAATTGCTGAAAAATCTTTTCTTCTTGCATTATTGATATCATCGCTCCAGGTGAATCTTGAGTTAAGTGTGACCCCCAAACAGACCCCCCTTTCTGACAATTAGAACGCCCTCGTTGAAGATTTTTATAGTCATATTGAGTGGGGGTCTTGGCTGTTTCTTTTTTCATTACAATAAGTTGCGACTTCTGTCCATTAATGTAAGGCCCACCAGCGGCCGAGCGGTAAAGTTGCTGAACACTGGTAGTTCGGTCAGAGGTTCGAATCTCGCGAACAGGCTGGCTGTATGGGCGTTTCCGTAGTTTTCCCCATGTTTAATGTGTATACGAGCTAGTTTTCCTTAGAAAGTCCTCCACGAAGGCATCACTCTCCTTAGGCAGATAGCCCTAGTGTGCTTTGATATAATTAAATAAACCAAACAATTAATGGAAATCCGCCATTGGGTACTGTTCTATAATAGGTATCATGTCTTGTAACTGTTTAATTGCAAATTCTCTGTTGATGGACTTAACGGCCAGAGCCGTGTCATCGGCATAGCATCCAAGATACGTATTAACCGCGCAAACCTTGGGATATCCGACACGTAAAATAGGTAAAGTATTGGCCCTAAAATCGAGCCCTGTGCTACTCCTGCATTTAGACGTCTAGAATCAGAATTATCATTGCCAATGTTGACGAAGAATTTTCTGTCTTTTATAAAAGAGTACATTAAAAGAATCAGGTCCCTGTCAAAGTCGAGATTGATGAGCTTTTGTATGAGCCCCTCATGCCAGACGCGGTCGAAAGCTTTAGCCACGTCTAGCATGAGTAAGTCGATACTTTGATTATTATGGAACGCAGATCCTATAAATTCACACGGTCTGACCACCTGCTTAGTCGTGGACAACTTTCTTCTAAGGCCGAATTGTTCCGGCGGTAGTTTGCTCATATAATGTTCTATCCTCTTCACAATAACCTTTTCAAATATTTTTCCCAATCCTGGGAGGAGACTTATGGGCCTGTAGCGATCAGTTTTTGTTACATATTTGCCCGCTTTCGGCAGTAAGATAACTTTGGCCTTTTTCCAGTTTTTGGAAAAATAGTTATTTTTCAGACAGGCATTTAAGATGCTCGTAAGCCGTGTAATGGTATTAATCGGCATATTCTTAATGGCGACATTCGGGATGTTGTCATAGCCTGATGCTTTGCGGTTTTTCATCCGTTTAATTATTTTCTTCATTTCATTTGGTGAGGTAAAATTCGTCTTATTCTTGGCGCCAGAGCCGCTGATTCATTCTTTTATAAAATACCTTGTGTCATAAGCGAAGAGATGATCACAGGGGTCAAGATTAGACATGAATTGTTTTTCTAGGTGTTCCGCCATGACCGCGGCTTTGCCCTTATTCATAATTGCAATTTTTGTGTCACTATAGATAGGCTTATCGCAGTGCGGCTTTCTTCTGAGGTTTCTAGCGAAAGACTAGAACTCATTATTGGGTTCACTAAAACTAAGAATTTTGTCATTCCAACATTCCTCTCTATGATTTTTAATACTTCCTTTAATTTTTCTGTTAAGTTTGTTCATTTCTTTTTTAATTCTAGGGTACCAAGAGACGTTCCAGCGTTTGTGCAATTTATTTCTCTGATAGTGAGTGGGAGGTCTATCTGCGTTACTATCCATGGGAACTTTGTGGGTGTTGCCTTATTATAGGCGCTAAGAATACTGTTATTGAGGACGTCTAATGCATTATCAATGTCCTGTGTAGTCCGTAGTTTCCTGTATGTTGCCTACGCGATACGATTTGCTTAAATACTCTTAACAAGTTCCGTTACTATGGCGGAGTTATTATGCGAATGTCCATGACGTGATCTGGTTCGCAGAAGTAATGTTGTGCGATACCTGACGATAGCATTTCTCGACTGAAAATAATCTTAACCCAAAGCTGTATGTATAGTATAGTAGCAGCTTTGGAGCTATTGAAGCAGCTTTGTCTTAAACTCCATGGGATCAACTCATAACCGGTGTAACTAAGGCTCCTATGATGTCTTCTCAATAGATGGCGTCACCATTAATTGCCAATCGATGACAACAAATCAGTATTAAAAATCTGAGATATCGCTATGAAATTAGGAACTTTTGTATACAAGGCACTTCAGTCAAAATTTTTATTTTAAAATACTCTCATTTTAAAACATTTCAGCTTTTTTCTTTTCTTTAAGACTTTAATAAAAAGCACATAACATTGTGGACACTTCACACTGCTCAAAAAGTACGCAACAGTAGATAATTGTAAATAAAACAAAAAGAGTCTGTGGGCTAGAATCGAATTTATGATATAGGTTTGTACTTAAAAGTGCGTTTTTCAGACGCAAAAGTTTTGGGAAGCATTCTGAAGGTGGCCCACGGAGTATAATGAACCCCACGGAGTTTATACTCCGTGGGGTGGCCCAAGAGCGATGCGTAGTGCAGCTAGAAAATTATGCTACATGCGCATTACGTCATGTGGGTGACAGTCTTTAGTTCTTGCCGTTTGTTTACTTTCGTTGCATCAACAGTTTGATTTGATTTGTGTTGTTAATTTGCTATTATACCTAGTCGGAAGTGGCAAACTGTGCTATAGCGTTGTGTCAGAATTATACACGCCAATACGTTTTTTGGCGGAAAACACTCTTTACAACCAGATAAAATAAACGACTATTTTTTTAATGAACTTATGTAGTTTTCATACATAACTGTGATGTAATTTTACATTTATTTTTCATTTTACTGTTATTTCACATTTAAAATTGAAAAATTTCTCATTTTAAGTAATTTTTTATCATAATCTTCATTTTGTGAATGAGGCTTACGTACATCATAGTGAGATATTTAAACTCAGTGTCATGTTTACCAGTACTGAGTACTTGAATGATTAGTTGATAAATTCGCTTATCCAACTTCATTCACATGTTTTGGTTACTTTTTTTACATCCCAAAGGTAATTCTATGAACTGAAGCAATGTCTGTGTTAAGTATTGCGAACTAAGTAAATTGATACATACTTCACCGTGAAGAAAGAACAATTTCTCGACCACACTATGATGCAAACATCGAATGAGTGAGTGACATATTTCCTTCAGTGTTATTTAACTGATGCATATGTCTAATGTAATTTAATTGATATAACTAAGTGAACTTACAAATGCTTGACCCTGAAGGAAAACAAATCTGTGTATTGTGCTAGAATACAAATAGCGAAAGATTAAGTAAGATATTCTCTTCAGTGTTATTTAATTGCTGCAAATGTTTTAATTTAGATTCCGTATAATTTGTTTCTAATTATAAGAGAAAGACAAATAATTAAATACTGAACACCATTTTGAGTATAACAAAAGAATTTTAGGAAACAACCTGATATAAATACATTAGTAATTAAAAATATTTAATTTGAATACAGGCTGAATTGAAATTAAGATGTAGGGCAAGTTTATTAGTTTTATTATTGTGCATTTACGTGTAAGAAATGTATTTTAATTATTCCGTTTTCAATGTATGGAGGGAAGAATAGGGCATGAAAATCGAAAATTATTTGCTATAGCAATTAAAAACGCCAGGATAAATGTTATATAGAAATCTTAGGAGTGTAAGGGATTATAAGAGTGCTTTTAGGTAATACTGAAAATATATGCACTTCTGCTGGCTGAAATCTGAAGTTAATCAGTATAAGTAAGTGGCTTTAAAAAGAATGTGATAAGTCTATTTAAAAGTATAAGGATGTGATATTAAGAAATTTGTAGAATTTTAGGGTAATTAAACATGAATTTGTTGATTTAAATCTTTTTATATATATTTTTGCTGTTTATGTAATTTAAACTGAAAATCAAGATCATATATTTCTGATGGAATGTCGGAGTTCATTTGTATTAAAAAAATGCATGAGCAATGAAAATAAATAGGAAATACTTTTTGATTATGTTATTACAATGGTTTTAGCTGTTATGGCTTCATGTGTTCTATTCAAAAAGATTTATTTAATGCAGACAATACAACACAAAAATATTGAAAAATACCTTGTTTTACAACATTTATTTCCCTTAATTAACTTAAATATCGTTTTTCATTTTCTAATGCTTTCCTTTAAGGAAAGGATGTAATGTTTACAATTATTTTTAGCATTCATACGAATTCTGTGCATAAAATAAATATTTGCTTTAACAAAATGCTTAATCAGAAAGTATATACCCGGTATTTCCGGTATGTTATTATAACTGCCACATATAAAATGATCATTTTGCTTTAGTTTACATTTTTTCCATTAGCAAAATCATGTAGTATGTGTATTGTCACCCGGACGCCGTCACTACCAGCAACCAATGGCACGCTTTTTCCGTTCCTGACCTAACCTTTAATATTAAAGAACCTTGTAGCTAACCGTAACCAATATCTTCAAAAACATAACAACGTGACGCGATATAAACACTTCGGTGACATTTCAAGGATAAATTTTCAAATGACAGTCACGTTGTCACTGTGCTTTGGCGGTTTCCTAATGAATGCATTATTGTATTGATTAACTTAACAACGGTTTTTCTATGACCTATCATGGAACTTATAGATAAAGGATCTGTAAATTCACCAGTTTTTTGTGAATTATGCCGAGGAATTGGAACTAGTAGATGTGGACGGTGTCATACAGCATATTACTGTAGCCGCGAACATCAAGTAGCTCACTGGTCTGTTCATAAAATGATTTGCAAGAAAAATGTTCCTGTACAGCAGCAACCGGCTACAGTTTTAAATGCTTCTTGTAATAGTACTACACAGTTAAATAGTTTCTCCCCATATGGAAGTTGGTGCCAAAATAATTTACCATGTGAGAAAAATGAAGATATTGGTGCTATGATGGCTAATGCACCAGCTCCTACAGTGCCAAATGTTTTTGATTCCTCAACCTTCATAACAAATAATGAAAAATCCATGGATCTTCAAATTGATGAAATTTTTTCAACCCTAAATAGTGAGTTACTAAGCTCTGATAATGCTTTCTGGGATGATATAAGCACATGTAATGCTCAAGACATGTTTGACTTTGGAACAGACCTTATTAAAAACAGCATCGTTGAAGGAGCAGTCGATCCATTTCCAGAAAACCTTCAGACATCATCTTATTTGAATGTAATTGAGGACAGACAGTCATCAAGTGCTGAAGATACAAACATATTACATTCTGTTCCACTTAATGATATCTGCTCAAATGTAGTTCATGATTTAAATGCATATGGTATATGTGTCTTAGACAAGTTTATTGGTACAAAATTTGGAAATATGATATTGCAAGAAGTTAAAGATCTGTACTACAGAGGTATTTTTAGAAAAGGCGAACTTGTAAATCCTAATCCATATATGTCTAAGGAAAGTGTTAGAAGTGATGTCACAACTTGGGTTGATGGTTCAGAACCAGGTTGTGAGAACATTGGGAACTTAATGAGAAAGCTGGATGTGGTTGTGGCAACTTGCAACAAGATGCGAAATAATGGAATACTTTCAAAATATAAACTCCATCGCAGAACCAAGGCATGCTTTTTTTAACATTTTATTAGGTGGTAGGCATTTTAACATAATAAATCATTTGAAGGCTGGGAGGAGGTTAAAAGCTGGGAGTATTTGTGGTACATTTTTAGAAGATATGTACATCGTACACATGTGAGATAAACAGATTTCGTTAGGTTAAAAAGTATTACATATTAATGATGACATTGATTTAATTAATGAGTTGTTAAAATTTTATTGCTATAAAACAAATTTAATATTTTTTTTTCAATATATTTATAATCATGTTCTTTTCTATTACTTTGTATCAACATGACTCTTTTTAATGCATGTGTAAATCATATATATATTATTATAAGTAAGGTCATAAGAATATATCAATTTATTAACCATTGCCTTAAAAGAGCAGGCATTAAATACTCACTGTAAATCGTTTAACTGATAGGGATATGATAATTTGTTCCTAAACTGAGAAGGCGGTATAAATTGGATGACGGTATATATGGATAGTTGAAGGATTTGTACATAGTGTAATTACTCAAATTGTATGTAATGTAAAAAGCTAATGCTTTTCAGACTTTTCTTATGCTGTTACTAAAAAAAAATGAGGCCTATTTCATACTCTTTAGGTCTGTCAAATACTCGTTTGACAGTGAAAATTACTTTTTTCCTTTCTTAAATTCTTAATCGTTTCGACACAACAATTAGCCAGAAATTAATTAATTTCCATTCACTAGTATTTCCAAAAAAAAAAATTAACAGACGGTTTCACTCAAATAAGAACTCCACAGAATACATCCCTCAAGAATTCCGAGTCCCACCCGATACCATAAATTACTTCACCCGAGTCTTACCGACTGATATTATTCAAAGCCCCCCACTGCCGCTAAGAATTTTTTGGAAACACTACACTTCGGAGTCACACGTGAAGAGAACACTTTGCTGACTCCCCATTAGAAAGAATGTGAGTTAATTAATACTTTTTCTGGCCTTTATATCTTCATGTATATTCACTTTTCTAATTATATTTTTTATTTTTATATTATTTTTTATTTGTTTTTACAAAGTTTGCATTATTTATCTTATATTTTGTAATCTTCTACTGTTTATTTCAACTTTATACTTTGAATTCTATTTCATAATGACAATTTCCAATGTTTAATTTTTACAAATAGTATTGAACTCAAATGCATAAACACGAGGGGTCAGGGGACGGTTACTCGAGTTTTTTTGAAATTCACTGCAGAAATTGCTTTTCACTCAAAATTGAATTGGCTAAAATGCTTCACAGGAATAAGTTCTTTGAATATCAGCATTGCTTCATAATCCCTTCTATTCACAGAAATATTTGGCCTGACTTGAATTGCCGGTTTGGCTTAGCCTTAATGCTCGAGTAAAGACGAAACACCTTCGTATTTATTTATTAATTATCTACATACATACAGTTCATTGAACGGGAGTTGGTTTGTTCCCCTTGAAAAGTCAACTAATTTCCGATCAATGACAGTGATTACATGCATTTTATTTAATTTTTGCCTTTTACAATTGAAATTTTGTTCTTCATGATGATTTAATTCCAGTCCCCGTTAAAACATTATTCACATTTTACTTTCAAGTTACTTCAAAACATCTTTCAAAATATAACTTACTAGTATGGATTCACTCTTTTAAGATAATTCTACTTTAATTAAACTTAGGAGATAATGTAATCAATTAATCAATATTATTTAGTAAATAAACTATTATTAACTTACTTTGCAGCAATTGCGCATGTAGTAGTAACTTGTTTTCGCACTAAATGAATTTAAGATCATACAAATATGATATATATCTATATATATACTGGTCTCTGGAATGATAGGACATTTCAGAGATAGTAGTCAAATTTGCAAACCATTTAACTGATATTCAGAAATTTATCAACCAAGAATAAATAATGGAAACAGGAAATCATTAATTAAATGAACTAGTGAATCTTTAAATGAGCTACCTAATAAAAATAGAAATACTGAATTAAATGAAATAGCTAAGCATTAATGAAAATAGGAAATTATTAATTAAATATCAGATGGTCACAACATAACTTTTTTTTTTTTGTGCAAACCCCTAGTGACTGTGCAGTTCAACTATTTGAAATGAAATTTGAGATACAAGGATTGCAAGGTATGCATGAATGTAATAAGAATATTATGAATAACAACACTCGAGTTATTCTTAATGGGTACCATGAACAAATTAAAAAATATTTTTAATACCAGCATTAACTTTTTTGCGTCGATGTGATTGATGCAATTAGGAAAAATGGCAGCATAAAAGTACTGATAAAGAGATATGGCAAGAAAAAGATGATAGCAAGCTGTATAAACTGTATGTATGTAGACAATTTTCATCATGGCATAAGTGTTGGAATGGATCACAAATACATATCACATAACCCAGGCAGCTACATATTTTGAGTGATTCATTTATATATCATCCAAATGATGTATTATAATCGATGGTTGCCACTTGAGTTGTCTATGATTATTATCTGTGGATGTGATTTTCTATACCTACATACAGATTGTAGCTATTGTGTAGCAAATTATGTGCATTCACATGCAACGTCTTTTATTCCCCCCCTTCATTTGTGATACTTATTCTTATTCTTTGCCAGTGCTCTTGTACTTTTTTAAGCTACAGGTACTATTCTAATACTATTTAAAGGTTTCTTCATTGTGCCAATGATATTACAGTTGGTGTTGATATTAGAAAATATTTTCCGCTCAAGTGTAGAATACTGTGCCCCTTCGATTATCAACAAATTTTGTTCAGTTTTGGCGATGAAATCCCATTTCTGGTTACCATGATAGTTTTAACTTTGTTTTAGCTGCCTGATTTTTTTTAAAGTAAAATCGATCGATGTGTACATGCATAAAATTAAGGCAGTGCAGAATGCCTAGTTTGAGCAATTCTCTGATGTTTTTTTAAGTGAAAATAGATTGATGTGTACATGGACACCGAATTTATACAATTCTTTCAATTCTTATTTTGGTTTTGTGTAGCGGCCATCTTGAAATTGTACATTCCTGGTGTCGATCTTAGCGTCAAAAAAGAATCGCTAAAATGACAATGGGTACCCAATTGTAAACTTTTACCATATTTTCCACTATAAATGTAATTGTTAAAGTTTGATAGTTGTTACTCATATCATTCTTGGGCAGGTATTTTAAAATCCTTATATCTCGAATTTCATTTTGATTCGTTGAACTATGTCGTGACTATTGCATGTAGTGTGTTATTTTATGGCTATCCTGTATGTAAAAACAAATTCATTAAAAATGAAGGTTAAAGTAGTCATTAGCACATTTGTTCATAAGAATAGCCTAAAAATTAGAGAAGACATAGAAATTTTGATTAGGCTAAGTAACATTACTGAACTTTCATTCACAGTACTAAATACATGTATGGTTATTTCAGAAGTGAAATAACTCAGTTGCAGATTAAAGCACCGGGCAGAAATGAAGAGAGAAGGTTATTTAAAAGTTCCACCTAATGAAGTGAGCAGGTTATTCCCAGAAAGCTACAATACAGTCAAAAGTCGTTAATTTGGACACCCATAATCCAGAATATCTATAATCCGGACCTCAAAGTTACAAACTTTCTAAGCATGCGTCTGCGCGTAAGACCTTTATGGCTGCGAATATGCGTGTGCACAAAATACGTTTACAAATGCGCGTGTAATGTATAACGGACGGTATAAGCTAAGCTAAAATTATCTAATTCAGTTAATGTTGCAGATTGCGTTGTTCCTTAATCTTCGAATTGGATTCGGCTTATTATTTTTTGCAGACTGTTAGAGCAATTTTATAAAAGTAAGCTTGAACTTTCGATTATGTCAAATAGAATTTCTGATATATATTTACTAATATGTAAAGCGAAAGTATGTTTCGAAATTTATTAAACAAAAAGTGAAATTGCTGCAAAAAATGGATAAAGGCATATCCTTTGTTTATCTAAACTTTAACGTTTGTTTATCTAAACTTTGTTTATCTTTAATCCACAGTGCGCAATGAATTGGAAGTTGATCTGTCAGCACTATCCTTATCTTCAGGGCAGATGTTTTTATTTTATTTGGCTTATAATTCCTTACTAAATGTAGTATTTCATCTCAATGTACTCCGTCTTTGATATGATTTAAATTGGATTTCTCGTCATTATAATTCGCTCCTGATAGCGAAGAAAGTGACAGAGGTTATTGAAAACAAAAAAATTTTGATTGACAAATTAGTCGGTATTCCTGACACAGCAATTATAGGACTTGAACAGCGGAACTTTGTAACTGAACAAGAAATTATTTCTGTTTATAGAATTAAAGAGAATATACATTCTCGTTTTTTATCTGATAATATTATCAGATAATACTATCAGATAAAAAACGTTTATCTGATAATACTATCAGATAAAAAACCGAAGCAACTTAAACAGCTTACATTGAAAGAAAGTTAATAAAAGTAACAATAAATATGAAGCTTTTTTTTGTAAATTTTGATACCCTTTAGATCATAATTGTTTTTTATTTCGTAAATTACGGTTTCATATTTTTAATTTTATAATTTCTGCATGCCATTTTACCAGATTTAAACTGATGATCTATAATCCGGAATCGCCGAAGTCCCGACGAGTCCAGATTAATGACTTTTGACTGTACGAGACACTGTTTACGATAATACCTGTATGAATTTCCAATTACGGGACTTGTAACTGAACAAGAAATCATGTCTGTTTATAGAATTAAGAGAAAGTATTATCACATAAAACGAACAACTGCATTGAAAGAAATGTTTAATAAAGTAAAAACAAATAATATTAAGTTTTTTTTTTGTAAATTTTGATACCCTTTAGATCATAATTGTTCTTTATTTCATAAATTACGGTTTCATTTTTTAATTTTATAATTTCTGCATGCCATCTTACCAGATTTAAACTGATGATCTATAATCCGGAAAAATCGATAATCCGGAATTGCCGAAGTCCCGACTAGT